TTATTTATAAAAGTCATAAATAAAAATCAGTCACTGACTTTTATTTTTTAAATCATACTTATAAAAGCCATTTGTATAAGGGGTAGTAAAATTTCGTTTCGCAACACCGTCTTAATGAAAAAAATAATAGTCGATGACTGATTTATATTGATGACTTTTAAAAGTAAAAGTCACTGAATGATTTTTATTTTGATGACTTTTATAAATAAAAGTCTTCAATAACTATTATCTAAGACATATAATATAAAAATCAAAAATAATTGTTATTTGGGATTTATAATATAAACATAAAAAATAATCGTTATTTTTTTTTTATTTTACATAAAAATTCCAAATAAAAATTTATTTTCAAATTTGAGCCTCGGTGAAAAAAGAAATCGATTGGTATGTATCACTTAGTTGCAGAACATTTCCTTCATAGTGAATTTTTCCATGGCAGTTTTCGTCAAAAACTGTTATGTTCGGTCCCTGATATCAATATACATATAATTGAGACACATAACAAAAATATTTCCCTTCAGAAATCTTTCAACAATAGAATTATTATGCAAATTTAACTCTAAAATTTTACAAACTATACATGGATGCTACAATAAATGAGCGAATGTAGAAGTGAGTTCGTCGTCACATAGAATATTTTGTCGCAGCAGGGGCTCTATTCCGGAACTGTGAGAAAATGTAGTGTACACCGAGTGCAAAACTCACAACCAAANTTTCAGCGAATGTAGAAGTGAGTTCGTCGTCACATAGAATATTTTGTCGGAGCAGGGGCTCTATTCTGTAACTGTGAGAAAATGTAGTGTACACCGAGTGCAAAACTCACAACCAAAAACTCACTGACTAAAATTTTCAGTGAGTTTTTCGGAAGAGAAGTGTACACAATTTTGACAGTTAAAACTCATTCTCATACATGCTGAATCGCAAAATGAGGAAGTGTACACAATTTTGATAGCTAAAACTCATTCTCACTCTTCCTGAATCGCAAAATGAAGAGTGCACACAATTTTCAGTGTACACTTGGAAACTCACAGTTACAGAATAGAGCCCCAGCCCTCGTAGTACTACGACAGCCGTAATCAGAAATGCTGTAACATAAACAACTTTCCAACCATAAATTCCATATTATACATCGTGACAGATCAATTACAACAGAAGCAACAGCAAAATGAATGCATAAATTAATCAACGGGAATAGCGTAGACTATAAAGCTAGGCGACAGCCATAAAATGACATACCAATCGAAACAAATTTAGACACAACACCCACGCGACAGTCACATCGGCAGCAAAAACCCCAGCATGGTTTTTAAAATATTTGAATTGCTTTCAATGTACAACCACCTGGAATGAAAACAAATTTGTAATAAATTCCCTTAACGCCTAATTGACTACTGGATGACTCTTCATTTTTTCGCTCGTTGTAAAAGTATTTTTAGCCAATTGCTGCTCGGCGGCCAGCGTACTCCATTGGTATATATTTGAGCAGCTCCAGAAAATGCAGTGAGGCAAATTTAGTAATTTAACTATGTATGTGCAGTGGGTGAAGAAAGTGATCGTGAACGGTGGCAAATGCAATGCAGCGGAGCTATAATAAACAAGTGGTTCCATAAATAAAAGCAGCGTCACCAGACAGCAGCACGCCGCCGCCAAAGAGGCACTGAACTAAAGTGAGTTGCGGTTGATGCTGGCAACGCCACGTTCTCGCTAGTGCTAGTGGGGTGCTGCGGTCGGCCAACCTTGCATTCAGCGGGCGGGCGAGCGGTAGGACGGCTGCCTTACTTCTAGCGACAAGGCAGTGAGATAGTAGTGTTGGCGCGACTGGCTATATTATACTGACCCACATTTTGCTACATTATTGATGGCAGTTACTCGTTGCAATGGGGAAAACTGCAATTTTATAATATGTAAAAACAACAACAACAACAGCATGTGTATAAAAAGTTGTAGAATTAATGTATGACTTTTATCAATATTTATTTAAAGTAACAGCTGAAGCTGAAACTCGTTGTGGTGAGTATTCAGCGTAGACAGAAGCGAGTATGTACCTACTTACACCTGCTTTTAGTTGTGCTGCTATGGATGTAAATAAACTGAAGATGAAATTAGTTTTCTCTGAGAGAAAGTGAAACTCGAATAGTTAGAAGAAGTTATGATACAAGTAGAGGCAAGAATTTTTAACTAATCATATATCTACATAAATATGAATCAGCAGAATTAATAGCTACTAAATTAACTTCGTCGTCTATCGTTTGGAACATAAACGCAGCATATTCACTTTAGACGCAATCCGCTGTTATTTGGAAGTGACGGGGGCATTACCAGCAGCCATTTTGAACTGACCGTACAAATGGCAGTTAATACCTGAGATTTTCTTCTTTCGAAAACGTGCATTTTCCGGAACCAGTTATTTCCGACTTTTTCCAAAAAAGTTCGTAGACGTCGCCCTAATCGGTAATCTTGCTCGAATAGATTTATGCCACTTTTAAATCGTTACCTTTTCCCAGACAAGATTTAACGTAAACAGATGACCGCCCTTTTTGAAAGTTTGACTTTTCTAAGCTAAATTTATTCAGAACTTTTCGACTTAAAAAACAGTTTGGAATTGAATTGTAAACATTATCGTGCTATGACTTACTGCGACTTTCGCACATGGCCCTCTTTCACCTACGGACAAAATCCACGTGGACAGTTGTCAAATATTTCTAATTCTCCAAAAACAGAGGGCAAATTCCCCAAAGTGGGGGAGAAAAATATGTCGCAGAAATGCCCCGCAAAATAATCGTAGAAATTTAAACAAGTTTCAACTTTTCAAATAAAAATCATTTTTTATCCCTCGAGCCGAGCACTTTTTTCCACATTTTTACTGCAAACATTTTGATCGATGGTTAAAATTTTTAAAAATTGTATGGGTTTTTTAGGTACATAATTGAATTATTTGGTCTTTGCTCTCTCATGTTGGAAATTCAAATTTGTTTATAATTTCATACCTTTTCTGGGGCAAACCGTAGTTCAATATGCATCAATTGAGGAAAAATCGAATGTCTATTCTCGAATTTTTTGAATCGATTCACGGATCAAATCGACAAAAGATCGAGTAGGACCTATTCAAAAGAAGCACAACTAAAAAAAAACCTTTGTCGACATTTTTGTATAAAGTAATTTGTAGGATTTATCATCAATTAATGCAAACATTTTTTTTTTCAGGATTAATAGTTTCCAAAATATTGCAGTTTTTGTATTTCTGCAAACTACCGTTTAGTGGGAGGTAGGTCCATCAATTTTGCCCATCCTCATATCTCAATTTTTACTCGAGCTATTGTGTGCACAGACAGACGGACGAACAAACATATACATATGTATGTATTTCTCGATTCCGTTAGGCTGTTACAAACAACCATTATGCGAAAAAAGTTAATATACAAATATAAAAAGCACCAAGACGCCCAACTATCACTCATCCACCAATTAGTATAAATATTTATAACAAAAGACAATGTAATTCAGATAAACAAATTTCAGTTTCTAGAGCATCAGCTTTGAAAAAGCAGCTTGAAAACAATATAAAAATTGTTTCTCGAAATTGGCCAGCTAAAGCGAGTAATACTTAAGCAATATAAATTAGAGATGAAACAATAAGACAAACGGCAAGCCTAGATAGTAATTTTAGAAGTGTCGTAAAACTTTAAACCCTTCCTCAATGCATGACCACAATGAAGTGTTTAACCAAAAAGAAATACAAAACAAAGTAACGTCGAAGCCATGTTAAAACAATAACCTGCTGTCAATGGGAAGGTCAACGAAGAAGAGTCTAGGCTCCACCATACCTTATTTACACATTCTATGGAAAGTAAACATGATAAAAACAATCGTACTACTCTGATATACTGAGCCATGGAAAAAGGGAATGTCATAGCTCACAAAGAAATAGGCGCCAAAGCACAAATAAAAAGTTTAAGTGAAAATTAAAACCTCTTCAAAGATTTTTGGCTTAATATTGTCCCAAATATGGTGCTTAATACATAGCTATATATGTATATTTAGGAGTTATACTATGGCATTTTGACCAAAAAGACATTAAGAAAGGGGAGAGAATTGAATGCAAAACGCAAACAATACCATAAAAAGTCGAACCGTTAAGTGTCGAAGCTGTAGAAGCTGAATCAGTGCAGAAAGCAATCATTGAAAGCAAACAGAATAGAATTGTCAAAAAATGTCAAACCGAGTGAAAGGAATTATGCTTCAAGCCTAGAAAAGAAAAATTAGTTTATTTTTGGTTTGTTTTTATGTGTTTTTTGTGTTAATACGGCGTTAGACGATTGTATTTTGGAAGTAGAATATTAAGGTCTTTTTCAATTTATATACAAGTTGAGAACAAAACTAATATACCACATTCCTATATACATAGCTATACAGTGGTGGAAGAAATAATAGAAATTCGATATTTATATACAAGTTGAGAAAAAAATCAAATAAAAACAAGTAAGAAAGTCTAAGTTCGGGCGGAGCCGAACATTAAATACCCGGCGCAAGTATTAAATATATGTTTTCCACCTTTCCAAAAGCTACCGCTACATGATAAGCCGGGGTGTATAAATTTTAAGTAAATTGGCGCCCTTAAATTTCGAAATATTGAAATTTCAAGCATTTCTGAAATTTACCGTTATATGAAAAGCGGCCGTAATTTTATTCCGATTTCAACAATTTTCAATGGTTTACTTTTATGTGGCAAGCACAATTACCGTACTGAGTTTGGTACAAGTTGGTACAACGGTTACCGAGATACCTATATGTGATCATAAGTGGGCGGTGCCACTCCCATTTTCCAAAATTTTACCATAAGCGTATTTCTTTGTTAAGAATTGTTGCAATCATCAATTTTGAAAAAAATAGCTTTATTTTCTGATTTATCGAGGATTTCGTATATTTCTAAATTACCGTTATATGGGATGTGGGCGTGGTTATTGTCCGATTNGAAGAAATAATATAAATTCGATGTTTAGTATTTTTTTTATAAAAGTCTAGCGGGTTATATAACAAGCACCATATAAAGCCACATTTCAAACTTTGTACAAAAATTCAACACATTTTACCACATTTCCCCAAAAATTTCAAACTTTGTATTCAGAAATTTTAGAAAAATCTGAAGTATACAGTTTTATAGCCCATTAAATTTTAGTAGAATAAAGTGCAAGTTTTAAGACGCTACAAAATCGTGTTAATTTTTAATATTTTTTTTTTGCTGACGCTGCTAGGCATTTTCTTCCATATTAAGTATGCTGCATTGTCGAGCAAAACTTCTAAAAAAAATATTAAAAATCCGCGCGATTTTCTAGTGTCAATTTTCATCATTTTCTTCTATATAATGCATGAACAAAATCTATTTCTATTTGGAAAAAAATTGCATCACCCAAGACACAAAAAAAAAATTCTAAAAATCAACGATATTTTGTAGCGACTTCGAACTTTCACTTTATTGTACTAAAATTTAATGGGCTATAAAACTTAATATAACAAATCTTGAAATTCTGAATAAAAAGTGTGATAAAAGTTTTACTTTTTTTCTAACTATACCAAAGTTAGAAACTTTGACTTTTATGGATTTTTCTACATAAACTATATTTGTATTATAAATTAATGAAATTTAAATAAAACAAAATATTTTCAAAATATGGAAACAAATTTACAGTACGATTTTGACTCACACCAACTGTATGTACATATGTTTGAGGTTACAAGACATTTTTTAATTTCACTGCGGAAACGTTTCATTTACATAAACGTCGGATATGCACAATAACACAAAATATTTTTTAAGCGCACTTATACGTTTAAATAATTAATCATTTATTTAAATTTTGCACTTATGATTTTATTAGTTTGCATATTTTTGCTACACAAAAACCAAATATAATAACAAATTCACCTACATATGTATGTACATATAGTGTATGTATGTACATTACGGTGGTCCGAAATAAGTGAAGCCCCAGGGGTGCCCTGGGTTTTATATCAAAAAAATATATCCCTAGTTTTTATTTTGCAAACAAAAAATATTTAAAGGTCGCTCAAAGCGCTAAAATTTTTCCATGTATTTTATATAGGAAAAACACTTTTCGTAGAAATGGTATGGAATTCTTGAAAATTAATATTTTTTATCGGAAAAATCTGGTCCTCTTCAGTATACTTCCAATAACAACACCCAATTGTTTATTTAACCATTTTTTAATACTAAGTACCTTTATTTATCCCCGTATCGCTTTTTCTGAAATTTTCTAGGAGTTTTTGCGTACTAAGTACCTATAAAATATAGTTACTATGAAGAAATGGTTCAAAAAATAATTGGATATTATTATTGAGAATCTCCTGAAGAAAAGCAGAAATATTGATTTTTGGAAGATATTGATTTTCAAGAATTTTATACCATTTCTACGAAAAGTTGTTTTTCCCCATATAAAGTACATGGAAAACTTTGAGCGCTTTGAGGAACCTCTAAATATTTTTTGATTTCAAAATAAAAAATTCTGGTATTATTTTTTTTTGGGTATAAAACAATCCTAGGGGGTGAGGGCATAAAAATTCCGACTTTACTTTTTCATATGCATCTTTGGACCACCCTAACGTACTACATATGTATTTATTAATTGGAGCTTTACAATTACATTTTCCAAGTACGAATTACTTATATGAATGCTCACATTTCAACGTAAAACAAGCTCACAAAACAATGGAAATACAGATATTTATTTTAATATACATAGATATATAGTACATACGTATCTACATACCGTAAATATTCCAGCCACAGACAACTGNCATACATACATAGTACATACGTATCTACATACCGTAAATATTCCAGCCACAGACAACTGGCACAACCGCACAGCTGGTCAATCGCGCGTGGTTGCCCAACCCATTCGCTGGTGTGCTCGCCCAAGCCGAACGCATAAATAATAATAAAACATAATAATAATTGAGATATTCACTGGAAATGATGATGGACGACGCGACGATGACTACTACAAGCAATAATATTTCACACATACACGCCGCTTCAATGGAATAGGTACACATTTTTTCCTCAGATCGGAGCTTACATATACATATCTGGACTTGTGAGCATCGGAGAAGTTTATTTTTGATCTCATTTTGAACAATTTGACCACTTTCGAAGAAAAGTGGGGAAAATGGAGAAAAGCCCTNTTCCGACTTTACTTTTTCATATGCATCTTTGGACCACCCTAACGTACTACATATGTATTTATTAATTGGAGCTTTACAATTACATTTTCCAAGTACGAATTACTTATATGAATGCTCACATTTCAACGTAAAACAAGCTCACAAAACAATGGAAATACAGATATTTATTTTAATATACATAGATATATAGTACATACGTATCTACATACCGTAAATATTCCAGCCACAGACAACTGGCACAACCGCACAGCTGGTCAATCGCGCGTGGTTGCCCAACCCATTCGCTGGTGTGCTCGCCCAAGCCGAACGCATAAATAATAATAAAACATAATAATAATTGAGATATTCACTGGAAATGATGATGGACGACGCGACGATGACTACTACAAGCAATAATATTTCACACATACACGCCGCTTCAATGGAATAGGTACACATTTTTTCCTCAGATCGGAGCTTACATATACATATCTGGACTTGTGAGCATCGGAGAAGTTTATTTTTGATCTCATTTTGAACAATTTGACCACTTTCGAAGAAAAGTGGGGAAAATGGAGAAAAGCCCTTTAAAACTTAGGATATTATTCCACGATTTAACAAACTCCACGAAAATTCAATTAAAATCTACTATATAACACTTTTAGTATACATCCTTAATTCCAATGCATGGAAAAAACCTTATCAAGAAGACAATTCTACAGGCGCTTTAAAAAATCAAGGACACTTTGCAAAACATCCAATTCCAAACATTTTCAATCAAGTTTAGGTTCTGTGAATAGGACGAACGTTGAAAAAAATTACGATGTTGTACCGTTATCCTCATTTTTACAGCTCTTGTAGTGCGAGTCGGTGCGTAATTTTGCTGCAATATGCAAGAACAAGGTGCGAAAATATGCTACAAACGAAGCTTATCTGATACCCACAAGTCCAGATATAAGCTTGGATCTTTAAGAATAAATGTGTACTTATTCAAGTGAAACGGGGTGTATAAGTATATGTACATATTTATTTAATGGGGATGGGTTGGAAAATCTTATCAATTATTTTATATTGTTATTTTTCTTTAATACATTTTTAGACTGTAAATCGACGATATGACTCATCGCATCAAGCATAAATGCACTTGAGCTGTGCTTACTTACACGCAGCGCTAACAAGATAAAAAAATATCATGCAACGATATGATGACGCAGCGACAGGACGGTTTACGGAGTTCTAAATAAAATTTAAATACTTTTCGATATGTTTTCATATGTACAAATACATATATGTACTTATGTACATATTTATAAAAAATTTTCTGGCTAGGTGGATGGTTATTCAATTGCCTTATTTGCTCGGGTTTTGCCATGATCTTGACGTGATCTACGGCGCGTGTGGCGTTGCATTCATTATGCATGCATTAACTTTTGTTTTTATTATCTCATTTGCTTTGTTTTCTCCGCATTTTTTTAAGTCATTTAAAATTCCATAGGCGTTTACAGAAATCGCAAAACAAATAACACTCAAGTTCATTTTCAACGTCAGTTTGTTGCTTTTAACGTTTTTTATAGGCTGTCTTTACCAAGTCAACGTTTCGGTTGTTCAGTTTCCTGACTCATTGCTTTGCTACAGCGCTCTTACACGATATGTATTTGCATATGTAAATGCTAGCTAATTTACTGATACGTTCTAATATATGGTACATACGAGTAGATACAAAAAAGTAGTTAATATGTGCAAATACATATCGTGTAAGAGCGTTGTTATACATTGGTACATATGTACATGTTTCGCAATTTTTATACCCGAGCGCACTTGTGCACAAGGGTATATTAATTTTGTTCACATAACGGTTGTTTGTAACAGCCAAAACGAATCGAGATAGATATAGACAAATGTATACATAAATGATCAGNTACGTTTGTGATAAATTTTTGGAAAATGGGCGTGGCACCGCCCACTTATGATCACATATATGTATCTCAGTAACCGTTCTACCAATTTGTACCAAACTCGGTGTGGTTATTGTGCTTGCCACATATAAGCAAACCGTTGAAAATTATTGAAATCGGACTAAAATAACGGCCGCTTCTCATATAACGGTAAATTTCAGAACTGCTTGAAACTTCAAAATTTCGAAATCTAAGGACTCTAATTTACTCAAAATTGATACGCCCCGGCTTACCATATAGCCGTAGCTTTCGGTAAGGCGAAAAACATATATTTAATACGTGCGCCGGGTATTTAATGTTCGGCTCTGCCCGAACTTAGGCTTTCTTACTTGTTATTTTTCTTTTCTTTACTTTTTGGTTGTTTTTCTTTACATACAATTTGTTTTACAGGTAAATTTAAAAAATCAACGGTAACTTTTAGCCAGTTTGAACATGCACATTATCCAATGCTATCACCAGTGCACGGACTTCGAAAAAATTAAAAGTGGTAGATTTTACACACAAAAATTGGTAGAAATTGGTAGATTTTTTAAAAGAAAAATTATTACGATAGATTTTTTTAATATAAGATAAATGAAAGCGAATTCAGGTAAGGTAGTTTTATATGGGCAGATACATTTTCGCCTCGGCGATTCTTATTATTAAAATAATGTATTTGTTATAATTCTTATTGTCATTACGCGTAAAATTTGTTAGTGGCATTTTTGTTTTCCAACTTCTGCTATCACCTGATATGAATTCGACTTCGAATAAATTGTATTTTTTTATAAAACAACAAAAAACGTATACATAAAACTGGGCCCGAATGAAACACGATTCGAATCGAATGAAATAAAATGATAGTTGTTTGCTTTAAATATATTTTAAGTTGAAAAAGCAAACCTGCTACCAAATACCGTAATCTCAAAAAGAACTTTCTACATTGAAAAAAAAAAAACAATTACTCTGCACTACAAAATTGTTTGATTAAAATTAATTTTGAAATACTTGAAACGTATTGCAAATGAAAAATATTTCCACAAACAGCTGATAGAGATGCAATTTCACTTTTAAATTGGTCAGAGTTAACTTTACATATTTATTTTAGGTGTGTGGACGATGACAAAATATGTACTTGTTGGTAAAAATGGTAGAAAATAAAATACAGCTAAAAAGTTGGTAGATCTACCAATAAAATGGTAAAGTCCATGCACTGGCTATCACAGAATCCATCGTAGCTTCGATATTCGTGAAATCTACGAAAGTGCTATCACAGAATCCGAATGGCTACGAACGTAAATTCGAAACTCGTAGAGATACTCTACGACGAGTTTGTGCTGTCGGAAGAAAATTTAAAATCACTGAATGTTAAGAATATCTGGTTTTGTTTCTACAATCAATATTTTGTATAACCTGGCATCGTAAGAATCAGTTTGTGGTTCCAGCCATCTTTTGGGCTATTATATAGCTGTTTAATAAAAAAAAAAAAAAAAAACTATTAGAGTACCAATTACTCATAATTACATAACAATCAATGAATTTTAGTAACTTAATTAAACACTTCGATTTTTTATTGATCAAAAGTACTTATGAGAATTCGTAAAATTTCACCGACAATTTGAGTACGCGCGCAAAAGTTTACTTCAATATTAGCCTAGACTTCAGCGAATAATACCCGTGTATGGATTTACATATACCGACGATCTAACAGGCCTTACTACTATTAAAAAAGCTGCGCGGCGAAAATAATAACTTCCACAGTACTGGCGCAAATATTCCAGCCGAATATTGACTCGCCAAATACACCGCAGTATCATCGAATTTCTGATGGTAGGCTGCCGGTATTAACGTAATTGCTGGATTCATAGCGGCGCCAGTCCATTGACCCTGCATAAGTATAAAAGAGGAAATAATTCATGCATTAGTTCCGCGTTCCTAAATATTTATACGAAAACATCATCCAAACGTTACTTACACCAGCTAGCGAGCAAGCCGCTACCAATAGCCCGATACGCAAGGAAACTGAATCTAAATATGATGAATTCCGTGCATCCCAGAGCGCACACCAGCCAAAGATTAATGTTGTAGTCAGCACCAACTCAATGACGAAAGTTTGGTCCCACGATAAGCTACCATTTGGCTTCATCAGACACAAATCCTTATTAATAGCATCGGTGGGCAGCATGGTGGTCAGTAGAAAGTATCCAGTCAATGCACCAAGAAACTGTGCTAACATATACATCATAGCCATTCGAAGCGAAATGTAACGCATCATGTAACAAGCGACAGTGATGCAAGGATTCGCATGGCCACCAGATACGAAGCCGAAACAATGTATTATTATCATGACGACGAGTCCATATTGCAGTTTCGGCATTTCACTACCATCCGCACAGCCAAGACAACTGAGCGCGACCATCAATGCTGAGGCAAAGAATTCGCCCAAGTAACGCATTATCGTCATAAATTTAATAGCCATAATTTTTGGTTTTTTTCTAAATTTTAGCGAACTATGGTTGCAAGATATTAGCAAATTTAAATAGACTAAGATTTTGTTTTTACACTTTTTTTCAATTAATTGTTTAATTTGTTAGTTTTGTTTTTGAATTGAGCATTAAGTTTATTTAGACAATTTTTTAAAGTCAAAAATTCATTTTTTAACAGCAAAGGAAAAGCAAGAATTTATTTTTTAGATTTTTGTGCTATAGATAAAATGTTTCGCAACATTCTGTGTAATAAGTAGTTAAAAGTTGCCGTACAAAAGATATATATTTATTAGGCTTCGCGGCAATTCTGACAAACCATGGCTGGGCAGTACTAGGAGAACGGGTACAGTGAAGGTCTTTAGTTTTTAGTGAATATTCATAGGTAAGGTTATCTTAGATTCAGCAGATTAATTCACTTGCCAAAAGTAGTTAGTATCGCTGAAGGCTGTTGCCTTGTAAAGTTAAGTTTAAGCCTCCGTCAAGTCAACTGTGTCAGATTTAGTTTTGGTCCATGGTATTCGGAAGTATTCAGGCGGCTCAAAATGTATTAACGACAGAAAATATAAAGCACGAATTTTCGCCTTTGCTTAAGAACTAATGCTGAAAAACTGAACCGTAATGCTTAAGGCCTATAAATAATGCTTAAGGTCTAAAAGAACACACAGAGGCCATTAAGGTACATAGCGTTACGAGATAAACTACGACCACCTTAGGTTAGCTACGCACTGAGTATCAGAACCAATGTTGAAGAACATCGCAGTCCTTTTAGCAAATTGGGAACACCTTGGGAACACCTTGTTGTACTCTACCTTGGTGGGAGCTTCCAGGTTAGGCAGGAAGCCTGCTCCCAGTAGACTAATGCGCAGTCTGCTAAGGGCAGGACACTTGCAGAGGTTATGCTCCTCCCTTGTCTCGTCTTTCGCTTTGCATCTCCTGCTGATCTTATCATTGATAATAGCCAGTTTAAAGACCTGCGATGCCAGCAGACAATGACCTATTAGAATAACCACAAGTAGCATAGACCCGTTGGTACTCACGCCAGAAGGTTGGACATTCTACAATGAGAAAGACAGCGCTTTGTACGCCCTGACTTCGGAAATACTAGAGGGCTTTGAGTGTGGAGAGACAGTGCTGTGTTCCTTCCTTGACATCGAGGGCTCGTTCGACAATGCATCCCACATGGGAGTTGATAGGCCACTTGAGAGACGCAATGTTAAGCAGACGAATGGCTAGGTTGTTACATACCAGGATCGCTGAAGCCCACGTCGGTGGAATCATCATTCCATTACATACGTCAAAAGGGTGCACGCAAGGACGGAGGATATGGACGAACTCCTGCAGATACTCACTGATGAGGGCGTCCACTGACAAGAGTACGTGGCCGACGTAGTGATTATCGCCAGAGGTAAGTTCGCAAGTACCCTTTGCGACATCGTCCAAAGAGGAGTTAATAAACCTAGCAAAAAGGTGTTGTGCGGATGTAGGTTTGAATATCAATCGTTCTAAGACAGTATTGTCCCCTTCACCAAGAAAAGGGCTCTTCAATCTTGAATGTGGGCTCTCTGACCTTGGATGTGGGCGAAATATCTAGGATTTATCCTTGCCTCGAAAATCCTGTGGAGGACGCATGTTGAGGCTGCGACAGGCTACAAAGCGGACTCTTCTTAATTTTGGGAGCGATGGCTTTGGTAAAGGTAAGGTTTTATCATCCAGGAAGAGGGACAATCTGGGCTCCCAGCTCCTTGTAGTTATGCCACGCAGGGATGACACGCATAGAGTAGTAATTTTCAAAAGAAAGGTTCAAACATATAGCAATGCGACCAGGCAGGGCATCTATCATGCAGAGACACGTCCAAGCGACTAACACTAAAGTATTATACAGACGGCTCTAAAACTCCTGGGAGTCTTTCAAACGGAAGTCTATGCCATCAGTTTGTGTGCTGAGATTAACCTTCGTAGGAAGTATCGAAGTGAGAGGATCCTAAGATCAAATTTTCAGTGGTACTGAAGTGTTTAGAGACGCTTATTGCTCGGGCTGAGAATAATACTATCCAATTGCTATGGGCACCAGGGCACATAGAGTAGCCTCGACCCCGATAAGACGAAGCGCTCAGAAAGGAAAATACCAAACTAAGGTAACTTCGCTGGCTTAATACCACGGGATTTCGTCAATTCAAAAGCCTACTAGGAGGGTACAATCTAAAAAGATAGAGGTACTCATGGGCCTCCCTTAGGAGAAACTAAGGATAATTACAGGTATTTTGACGGGCCATTGCAGGTTACGAGCTCAAGGAGCGATTCCATCCCTACCCCGGGATCTATTCTGAAATGTATATAGTCTTTAGGAATGGCTGAGGTGTTGTGAAATAATGAGGGCAAAATATACCGCCTATCTATAGGCCTTCAATCATTGGTGATCAAGCTAAACTAACGGTAGGCCCAGAAAAGAATAGCGTAAATGTTTTGGCGAAGCTTGAGATCGTAAAATTGAGAAAAAATACCATTAAGAACTTCGCCATGTTTATTGTAGTAAGAAGGACTTATAATTGAGCCTTTAAGCAATGCGATTTGTTTCATTTTTTTCTTTCACTCTTATTCTATTTAATAAATTAAATCCGAAATTCCACAGCCAATAACCAGTGTAAGCACTCGTCGATTACCTGCTGAGCATAAGCAAAAATACATCTTCGTGTAGTACTTAAATACCAGAACGAAGAATTGCAAAACTAAATAAACAAAATATCTGCAAGAAAGAAGGGAAGAAGAGCGAAAACTCAGAAATGCCTAGATCAACTGAGAATAAATATATATGTATTTGTGTCGCAGTTAATGTAAGTCCTTTGCTGTCGTTTCCTTAACCTCAGACAACAATATCCTGTATGCGGAACGACAAGCCACTGCGGCAGAGCAGGTAGTCAAATAGTGATGGGAAATTTTCAGCTCGTTACATCCTGCAATTATGCAAACAATTACGAAAACGACCGCACATCGTTCAGCCATGCAGGGACAACGACCTGACACTTGTCGCGCACATTGCAACAACAAGGATTCTAGCAGCTGGCGATAAATGAATTTCATACCTTATATGTACTTAGAAAGTGTGAATGAACGTGGGGACATTCTGGTCAGCACCAGCTACGATATAATTTGCTATTTGAATTATGAAATTCAATTTTACGCTTAACTAAGTTACAATCGTAAATTGTGTTAGCTCGAAATATGGATGAGGATGGGGAAGTAACATGCATGGGGGTTTATAAAAAAGGTCACAGATTATCAATCTGATTATACAGTGACGGAAAAGTAAATAGGGACACGACATTTTAACAAATTTTGCCTATTTGTGTTTTGTTTATTTAATACTTATTACTTTTTTATAAAAGCATAACTGATTATCTAACAAAAACCATGTAAATTATGATTTCAAAACTTTGTGCAAAAATTATTAAAATTCTGCAAAATCTCAGCTAAATTTTCAACTTTTTAATCAAATTTT